TAGATCCTACGGACCATTCTTTGCCTACTGCTGCTCTCCCAGCCCTGTCATACTGCCTGGCATACAGTGGGCACCTGGGAAGTAGGTACACTGACTGGTAGGCCGGCACTCAAACTCAACTGTCCCACAAGCCAAGGGGTTTCCGAGATACAGAACTTCTGGTGTTAATACTGGGACTGGCCCAGGAACCTGAGGAGAGTTGGCTGCTTCTTCCTATGCTGGTCTCGCGTAGAGACTCAAGGGCCTGTTTATGTTTATATAACATGGCACTGATAATGGATTTCTAGCATGAGCCAAAATGGCTGGCTAACACTAGCTATCTGGAGGGATGAGTCAGCATAAAATAACTGACCCCAAATATCTAGGGACTCCAAAAGTGAACAGTAATGTAATCTGTTGTATAACCAGTTTAGGCAAGAAGTCACCTTTATGTGACTTCCTATAAAAAGTCCTTGGAACCAAGGGCACATGTGCTTTTGCCTGGTATCCATGCCTAGTAGACTGTGTGCTCTTGTCTTATTTACCAGTGGCTCTGTGAATCTTCTTTAATCTCTTAGCTCCTTGAGACCCTCTGTTTCTAGCCTCCAAACCTTGGGCTTCCAGGACTGCTTTATCCAAAGGTGGCAAATAAATATGTGTTGAAGTCATGACATAAATGGATGCCCTGGCTTCCAAACAACCTCTGTTGTATCTGTGGGTTGTTTTGAACCATGTGATCTGGCCACCAGGCTACTTCATAGGCATCTCAACATTCCACATAGAGCTGTAGTGAAGCCCCAGGCAGTCCCTTTGACTTTTGGTTTCTCTACTAGGCTGCCTGGCATCAGTTGTGAGCCTGTGGCCTGCGCTGAGCAGTTAAGACTTGCAAAGCAGAGAATTGATTCTCTGAGAGTTCAGAACACCAGACACTTATCTTTCTCCTTGGGAACTTCTTTCTGGTCAGAGTGTGGTACTAAGACTTCCCGCTGGAACACGTGGGGATGCAGAAGACAGTGAACCACAAAAGTGGGTGGGGTGGCTCTCCTCAGTGGCCGTGAGGAGCTAGAGCAAGCCTGGGGCTTAACAGAGAAGAGACCAGAGCAAAACAAGCTGCTCCAGCTATCAGCTTGTAAGCCAAGGGCAAGACCCTCCTGTGAATTACCCCAAACTCCATGTTCAAGGCCTCACAGTCTCTGCATCTGAAGAGAAGATGGCTTTAGCTCCCAAATATACTGAGTTTGCATCCCAGCTCTACCAATTAACAAACATGCATAACCTTGGGCAGGTTATTTGATCACTGTGGGTCATTTTCTCCATCTCTAAATCAGGGTTGCTGGGAGAACTGGAGATTTTATTTTATTTTTATGTGTGTGAGTGCATCCATGTCATGCAGTGCCCATGGAGGACAGAAGAGGGCATTGGATCCCCCTGGAACTAGAGTTACTGACAGTTGTTAGCTGCCATGTAAGTGCTGGGATTCAAACTTGGGTCTTCTGCAAGAACAGCCAGTGCTCTTAAACACTGAGCCATCTCTCCAACCAGAGAACTGGAGATTTTAGATTAGAGCACCTTCCACACATCAGCACTGAGAATGACAGCTGTCATTGAAATCATGGTGATTAAGTTTATAACCAAGGGAAAGGTCCTTGAGCCAAGGATGCTAGTGGCTCTACCCCTGCATGAGGAGCTACTGTGAATCCAGGGAGCTTCCTGAGCCTATGCTGGGGTCCTGGCAGGTGGGAAGGACTGAGTTAGATTGATCCAACCCTCTCCACTTGCACTCATTCTTCACTTCCATTTAAATTTAACTGATCAGGTTTAGCAAGATAGTTACTTTACTTGAGTTAAATATTGACTGGCCAGAAATATGTTTATTGCAAATTAGGAACAAAAGAGACTGCTTTAGTTGGACCTCTAGTAGATCCCAAGTACCACCCTGTGATGGTTTGAATGAAAATGTCTCCCATAGACTCCAAGTATTTGGACATTTTGTCCCCAAATGGTGGTGCTATTTTGGGAGGTTTTACAAGGTATGGCCATCCTGGAGGAAGCATGTCACTGGGGGTGGGCTTGGAGAGTTCCTAAGCCTTGCCAGATCTCCAGTTGCTCTCTTGTTTCCTGTGCCTGCTGGAAGATGTAGAGCTTCACTTCTGCTGCTCCTGCTCCAGCCACTTCCAGCCACCATGCCTCCCTGCCAAGATAGACTGTAATTCCCCTGGAACTGTAAGCTCAAATAAATTCTTCCTTCTATAAACTTTGGTCAATGTTTCCATCACAGCAACAGAAAAATGACTAATACAGTAATTAATACCAGAGAATGGGCTGTTGGTTGTGAAGAACCTGACCATGTGGGGTTTTGGAGGAATGTGGAAGACTTTGGAAGTTTGGGCTAGAAAAGTGGTTGACTGCTGTAAGCAGAGCTTAACAGGCCATTCTAGTAGGGGGCTGGAAGAAAGCAGTGCTGAGAACAATGTAGTTTCAGAGGGAAATAAGGACTTAAGCAGCACTTGGGATATTTTGGCAAAGAGTCTGGCTGGAGTCTGCCCTAGACCAAAAAGCTTGCCTGAGGCTAAGTTGAAAAGTAATGGACTAATTTCTTTGGCAGAAAAAATTTCCAGACAGCCTTATGTAGAAATGGTGGCATGGCTATTAATGGTGAATATTATGCAGATCTACAGTGAAAGAGAGCAAATGGGACAGAAATAAATGTAGTTTGGATTGAAAAGAGCACTAGGAAAATAAATGTTGGAGCCCTGGCATGTGATAGAGAGGATCCCATTGATAAGGAGATTAAAGTGATTAAGGAGATTAAAGTTATTAAGGAGGTACCTAGAGATTCAAACTTAAACAATGGAGACAGTGCCTCCAGGGCAAGACCACACCCAGTTAAGCCTCCAACTTGTGAAATGAAAATGCTGCAGGGGCCACTGAAGAGAAAAGCTTCTAAAATGGATAAAGCAGGCTGGGGTCCATCCCAAACTTGCAGTCGAACTTGGCAGTGTCATTCACCTGGTGCTGGCTTTAGAGGCATGAAAGATGGAAGCGTGAAGAGGTCATCAATTCTTCCAAGGTTTCAGAGAGCCTCGGAGGCCAGGCAGCATAAAGCAGGGGTGCCCCAGCCTAGAGAAGGCCCTGATAGGCCATTGCATGAAGCTGTGAAGGTGAAGCCTGGTTGACAATGGAGACCCCAAGAAGTTCGTGATGCCAGAGCTGTGAGGCATCTGCCAAGAAGATCTGCGTACAGGGAGTGGTACCAGCATAAGAGAGAGATGTGTGTTGCACACAGTAAAGCTAGAGAGGCTGAGCCACCTAAGCCCTTTGGAAATGAAGTCTCAGGAGTTGGACATGGAGCTACTGGATTTGGTGTTTGCTCTGCTGGTTTTTGGTCTTGTTTTGGTCCAGAATTTCCTTACTATCCCTCCAGTCCACCCTTTTGGAATGGTAATGTGTATTCGGTTCCACTGTATGTTGGGAGTATGTAATTTGTCTTTTGATTTTATAGAGGCTTACAGTTACCTGAGTCTCAGAATAGGTTTTGGACTGTGGACTTTCGAATAGTATTGAGACTGATAATGACTATGGGGACTCTTAAAGTTGGACTAAATGCATTTTGCATTTTATATGGTCATGAGCCTATGAGGGTCAGGGGGTGGAATGTGATGGTTTGAATGAAAATGTCCCCCCATAGGCTCCAAGTATTTGGACATTTTTGTCCCCACAAAATGGGTGGTGCTATTTTGGAAGGTTTTAGAAGGTGTGGCCATCCTGGAGGAAGCATGGCACTGGGGGTGGGCTTAAAGAGTTCTTAAGCCTTGCCAGATCTCCATTCACTCTCTTGTTTCCTGTATCTGCTGGAAGATGTAGAGCTTAGCTTCCGCTCCTCTTCTCCAGCCACCTCCTGCCACTGTGCCTCCCCACCAAGATGGACTGTAATTCCCCTGGAACTGTAAGCTCAAATAAATTCTTCCTTCTATAAATTGCTTGGGTCAGTGTTTCTTTCACAGCAAGAGAAAAGTGACTAAGACAAGCCCCTAGTAATTAATTTGCCATTTTGATGGTACACAATGACTGACCTATTAAGCCAAGAGTCTGCATTTATTAAATGCTATCTTAGAGGCAACCAAACAAAGCCTGAATCAACAGATGCTTTGTCAGTGGTTAATAGCTCCTGGCCCTGAGGACCGTGTAGGAGGTAGACTGTGTGTTTGGGGCAATGGAACTTAGGACTAGGCAGAGGGAAGATAAGGCTCAAAGCCCAGACCCCGCTTAGTTGTGAGGCATTACTGTGGCAGTCTGAAGTGGGTGCCAGAGAAGCCACCTGCCCTCCCCTTCAGTACCGCACCTGTAGTGGATGCCAGTGACAGTTGATTATTTTGTTGGTGCTTTTCAGAAGCTATCTACCACCCAAGGGTGGGACTTACAAGCAGAAAAAACATATGGAGCATGGTGATCCCAATGTTGGGCTCTTCCACGCTAAGAAAAATGGAGACTTGGTCCAAGATTAATGGGAGTTTGAGAGGGCAGCCTGCCCTGTAATTGCTGACACAGTACACATATTACCTATATGGGGTTTGGAAAAGAAATGAGGTTATTATTGGAGTTGTTAGAGTCTGGACACTGGGCAGCTCTAACAAGCTAGGTTTGACGACCCATCCTCATAGGCCAATTAAACAGACAAATAATGGAAAGAAGAGAAAGATTTATTCAATATGGCCACATTGGGAAGAGGAACAGAGAAATCCAATAATCCTCTTCCTCCCCAAGTCCATCTCCAGGTACCTAACAGGAGGCTTATGCTTAAATAGAGGGTATGAGCTATGCATAGCTAAGCAACTCTGGTCAAGGTGTGTCCTACCCATCACCATTGTCATTGTGCCATACTCCTCTTTCAGGGTGGCCTGACAAGATATCAGGACCTTATGAAGTCTCTGCCAAAGACAAGATCCCCCTCTGGCTGCCACCAGACTACAGCTTTATCCTTCTCCCAGCATGAGATTCCTGGGGAAATCCCAGTCCTCTGAAGGATTGTTTCAAAAGTCTAATAGTCAAAATCCAGGTCCTTTGGGTCCCTCCATGGCTCACATCAGTCACTAGGCTCTAGCCTCAGGATGCACCACCAGTTCCTAAGCTGGAAGCCAGTTCAGGAGATAGCTGGGCTGGTGGTTTTCACTGGTGCTCAGCACTCTCCTCTTTCTTTTCCATCTCTGCAGCTGCCATCCAGGCTCAGGCCCTCCATTGGGGCAGCTTCTTGATCTGGGAGAGGGGATGGGAATGGGGGCATAAGTTGAGGCAGGAATTCATGTTTCTCAGGCTAGCATTATGTAGCAGAGGATGACCTTGAACTTCTGATCCTCTGTCTCCACCTCCGGAGTGCTAGGACTGCAGGTGTAAGCCACTACACCTGCTTTGTGTAGAGCTTGGGCTGACTGAGGTCTTGCTGCATACTAGGCAAGCACTCTACCAACTAAGTGACATCCGCAGCCCTGGTACAGCTTTATAATTGTCACTTGTTTCATCTCCCTTCTGATAATCTGGTGTCACGAAGAAAGAACCATCCCAGTGTCAAGCAATCTCTTGATTGGTTTGGTCTGCTCAAAAGTAGATGGTGTCAAGACCCCCACAAGACTGGACTGGTCAATACCCTGTCACAAAAGAGGAAGGGACTCACAGGGCCTACTGCTATCTGTGGATTTATACAGTTAATGGTTGATGGGGGGGAGGAAGAGATGTTTTTCTTCAGTGGCGTAGCCACTGGTAAAGTGCCCATACATCTGCAAACAAACTTTCACCCAGGCTCCTATAAACAACACTCCTTAGCGCGTGCGTGCGCGCGCGTGTGTGCACACACACACACACACATACACACACACACACACACACACACACAAAAGCGGAAGGGGGACTAGTAGGCAAGAAGAAGGAGATCAGTGGGTGTAGAAAGGGAACAAGAGAGAATACCAGGGGAAATGAAAATGAAATACTATATGTACATGTATGAAAATGTCACAATGAAACCCATCATTATGTATAATTAACATGTGCTTAAAAATATGTTTAAATGGGTGCTGTATATTATGAACTTAACCACTCCAGGAACATATTTTTTAATTTTTTTAGTGGAAAATCAAAATGACCTTTCTCTTCAAGATTGCTTTTCCCTGGATAATCAGCTATTAGCATTAAGGTATGTGTCCTCCTAGACTTTTTTCTAGGAATGCATGTATTTGGTACTTTTCTTCTTCAGCCATGCATGGTAGAGTTTCATTAAAAGCTCCCATACTATGAGGGACTTTCCTGAAATCACATAAAACACCATCCCTATATGATTCCTCAGGGCCCCATTCACTCAAAATAATGGAAATTTAAATTCAACCATCCTGCTAGGGGAGTATGCTGAGGCCCATGACTCTAATTTTTGTTGCTGTTGTATTTCTGTTGTTCCATCCTCTGCTGGTTTAATTAGCACATAGTATCGTCTGAAGCAATGTCATTTTTATTCCAGTTATAGCCAGAAGCAGTTAGTATACAATGCACAATATTTTCAGTTCCAATAAAGCCATTCAGTCTCATATCCTGTTTCAGCAACTCCAGGGGATAGGAAACCCAGAGTCTGAAATTGCCTGTGAAAGAACTATTTTGGGCTAAGGATGTGGCTCAATAGATAGAGTGTTCATCTAACATGCATGAAAAGTTCTGGGTTCAACCCCCAGCACTGCATAAACAAGATGTGCATATACAGTACAGGCCTGTAATCTCAGCACTTGAGGGGTAAGCAGAAGACTGGGAGTTCAAGGTCATCCTTGGCTACTTAGCAAGTTGGGAGCAGACCTGGATTCACCTAAGACCTATCTAAAAAATAAAGAGAAAAAAAGAAAAGAAAGACAGAGAGGGAGGGTCAGAGGGCAGAAGGTAGGAATGTGCTTTCCATATTTATCTTTGAAAGAGCCCTTGTCTCCTTTCTGGGTGTGTAGGTGTGGTGATTTGAATGAGAAATGTCCCCCTAGGCTCACATATTTGAACTCTTGGTCCCCAGTTGGTGGTGCTGTTTGTGGAGCTTTAGGACATATGGCCTTGCAGGAGGAAGTGTGTCACTGGAGGATAGACATTGAGAGTTCATACCTTGCCCCACTTCCAGTCTCTCTCTCTCTCTCTCTCTCTCTCTCTCTCTCTCTCTCTCGATGTTTATTGTTGAAGATGTGAACTCTCAGTTTCCTGCTCCATCTACCATCCCTGCATGCTGCCATGCCTGTCCACCATGATAGACTCATCCCTTGGGAATTTTAAGCCAAAATAAACTCTTCTATAGGTGACCTTCAGTCATGGTATTTTATCACGGCAACGGAAAAGTAACTAATGCAGACTCCTGACAGTTCACAGTGCCTTAGTCTCCTGACTACATGTTAAGACTTGAGTATTCTTAAAGAATAAATTAAAATATTATATTTAATAATAAAAATAATCTCAGAAGGCTTGACTTAAATTATACTTGTTAATCAGCTTTCTGTCACTGTGACAAAATACCTGGGAAAATCAACATAAAGGAGAAATTAATTTTGCTCATGGCTTCAAAGGTTTCGATCCATAGTCATTTGTTTCCATGCTTCTGGGCTCCTGGTAAGGCAGAATACAGTGGCTGAGAGCAGGTGTGGAGGAATGCTGTTCACCTCATGGCAAACAGAAGGCAGAGAGAGGGGAGAGATGGGTGGGGACTAAAATAGTCTGAAGGGCTTGCGCATAAGCACCTACTTCTTCCAATTGGGCCCCCCCTTCTATTGTGTCTAGCACCTCCCAGAAGTCCATTCAATTATCAGTCTATCATGCGACTAACCCATGGTTGGGATCTGAGCTCTTACAACAGCCCCTCAAAAGCCCACAGCTGACATCAAGCCTTCAGCAATGGTCTTTGAGGTACATTTCAGATCCAAATTGTACCACTGCTATCACAGTGCTATTACAAACTGTGGCGGTAAACATGATACCCTAGTCCTCAATCTGTTGTGTTAAAGGCTGAGGCTTCTAAGCAGTTCTGTGATAGGTCCCAGAGATCTGTCACAGAGCTGCAAGGTCATTGTGAGCTGGCTTTCCAAAAATGGGTAGGTTACTAGGGCAACCTGGAGAAACCCTGTCCCATGTTGGCATCTGGCTTTTCCACTGCAAAGCTGTGCCAACTTGAGGCATTCACTTAAGCTCTCAGAACCCTAGATTGCTCCCCTGTACATGGGGGTCATAACCCCACCAAAGAGGCCTGGTGAGGCAATGCTAGCTGCCTGGTAGGTAGTGAGCCCTGCATATTTCATCATTAGTTGGTGACCACAGTTGCCAGAGATGGGCCTTTTCCTTCACAAAAACAGTTTCTGACCATTTCCCAGCAACCCAACTTCATCCCCCAAAATAAACCAAAACAAATCACAAGGAAGTGTGTGTGTCCAAGAAGAAAATTTACTAACCCTTGGAAGGACAACGACGCTCTGGCTGTGGAGGGGAGGTGACCAGGCAAGTCCTGTGTGGGCAGATGTTGCCAGGAAGCATTGCTGAGAGCAGGAAGCATCTCCTGCCCCTCCAGCTGGCCAGGGTCCCAATTCTCACTCCTTCCTCAACCTCTCCAGCCCTGGCTGGGCTCCTCTTTCCTGGGAAACACAAACAGGCAGCAGAGAAAATGCAGTCTTCCTTTGAGCTTGTTCAAGGCAAACCCTAAATCATCCTGCCTTGGAATGGTGGGATGTTTGCCTCTTTTGCCTGCCCTTGTTACCCTGTCTCTGTCTTTCTCACACAGGCAAACACACCAACACACATACACACCATTTCCTGCATACTTTCTGTGTGATTTCTGTGTAAAGCAACAGCTAGAGATAGAAAAATTAGGCAACAATTACTTTCCTTTACCCAAATCAAGGTCTCAAATGGTGACCTTCACAATGTGTCAGTCAGCACTGAGCAAGTATATGGAAATGCTGGATCAGCTAACTGCTAGACCCAAGAAGGCAAGATTTGTTGCTGTTGTGGGGCTGACAGAACGTCACCACTGTCACCATGTACTAAGATGGCATGTCACTCTGTCATGCAGTACATGGCACAGAAATGGTGAACCACGTGCTCGGCTTAGATTTTTATTGGCTCCCTATAAAAGATACACAAAATACTCTTTGTTGAGATCTTCAATCTGGCCCTACCCACTTTATTCACTGTCACAGTATTCATTATTTTTAAAAGAATGTAAAATTATTTTGAAAATCAAGTAAGAGAAAAGAGTTGGGAGAGATACACAGGGAATGATGGTCCCATAATACTCTGTCACTTGGAAAAAGCTGGAAACTTTTCCCAAAATGCACCAGTCAGATTGCTCCTTTCTGGGATGTACAAGCCTGAATGGAAGTGATGACAGCTGAGACATCTTACAGCCACACCCTTGACAGAAAGCTTCTTGTTGCCATGAGTGGTGGGTGGTATATCCGTAACCTCGGCACTCAGAAGGCTGAGGCAGAATGGTTGAGTTCCAGGCTAGCCTGGGCTACAAAGCGATCGCCTGTCCCCAAACCAAAACTGGCTGGAGAGACGACTCAGCTGTTACAAGCACTTAATGTTCTTCCAGAGGACCCAGGTTCAGTCCCCAGGGCCCGTGTTGGAAGCCTCACACCACCTGAAACTCCAGCTCCGGGGGATTTGATGGATCTGACACCTCTTCTGCTTCTACAGCCACCTGCACTCACATCCACACATCCACAGACATGTAAGTAAAATTAAATTCAATTAAAATCATAACAACAACAAGCTTCCTGCTTGCAGACTTGGGGACACTCAGTCTGGGTACCCATTAACTTGAGCTCTTAACTTGCTTGCCACTGAGTCCAGTCTGAGCAGTGACTACAAATTGTACAGTCACACACAAACAAATTTACAAATGTCACATTCTTTATAACACTGTATCTGATCATAACCTTAGCTTGTGCACTACACACATCCATTCATAAAAACACACACCCTTTCCACGATGCCTTATGAAGTATACAGTGAAAATGAACACAGTAAAAATGTAGAAGTTGCCTATGCAGCCAGGTGTGGGAGCTTTTCATATTGATTAAAACTATGGCATTTCAGAAGCAGTATTAAAACTTTTCACCTGCTGTACTTTTTCTAATCCCATAATCTCATTTAAGTGTCCCACAACTCCTGTGAGCAAGGATGAATGCCCCATTTTGCAAAGGAGAAAACCAAGATGGGGAAGGCTCTGTGTGCTCCAGGTGGACTCAGAGATTCTAAAAAGTCATGAGGCCCCATCATCACCCCCAACTCCACAGCCTTCTAAAAGGGAAAGACAAAGGTCAAGGCAAACAGCATGCTTTGATGTGCAGGCTTGATTTCACTGATAGGAGCGAGGATATCCCGCTGAGCAGTCAGGAAAATGAGGGAAGTGTTTTATTTCTTATCATCTCCTCTTTGACATCTCAGGGCCATTTTATGCTTTGTTTTTTTTTTTTTTTTTTTTTTTCTTTTTTATTACTTCACTGAGAAAATAAGTCAGCACGGAGTGCAAGTTCCTCTTTGTCTCTCTGACTCCCCTTGTTTAGTTTTTCTGGTAACCAATGGAAACAGGTAGGCAGACAGAATAATTTCAAAATAGTCTCACTCTCTTTTCCTCCGGCCTTTTCCCCCTCATTTTCCTTTGCGTTTTCCTTCGGACCACAGGTGCTGAGAAGCAAGATAGAAAGTACACTGGGGGGGGGCGGGGCTAGCAATTCTCAGGCTTCATTTTCCACCCTCATTACTGGAGTTTCTGCGGACACTGTCACACACATGAAACATATGCATGTAGTGGGCTTGTAAATGAGTGAGAAAATTTGGGAACATGGTAAACCTGAGAAAGTGACAGAACTTGCAGATGTGAATAGCACTGAACAAACTGAGAGGCTGGGGCGGGGGCGGGGCAGGGCAGAGGGCATTGAACCCTCTGAGGTAGGAATCAGGTAAAGTGCATTCAAGTTCCTGCCAGGACTTGTCATGCATCTCTCTGAAGGTTGTCTTTCTCCATCTAATGAAAACAGTCACTCATCCTGCCTTGCTACCTGCCCTAGCAGGCTGAAAATTCAGACAGGCTAGCAGAAGGGCCAAGAGCTATTATAAACAGACCAGCATCACCATTCCCCTGCCCCTCTCCCAATATTCCTCAGGCCCAAATGTCCCTAAAATGTTGCCAATCTTTAAACTCAGCAAGAAGTGGCCTCCGAGGTTACTTTCTTCTTTTTTCCTTTGAGTGAGATGAAAAGAAACTAGAGATACCCTAAAGCCAAGCGAGTCTCAGTGTCATAGGGCACAACAAACATGCCCAGTCCCACAGGGACAACTTTCCTCCCATAAACTCAGAGTTGGCTTGGGGGTGGGGCACAACCACAGGGGAAATGACAGCTAGTTTTCTAGTATTCCAACCTAGGCAAAAATCAATCTGGGCCGAAGACAGAGATGGATCTGTCCCAGGTGCTCAAAGTCCAGCCCCTTCTTTCCCAACCATTCTGATCCCAGTCATAAACTGCTAATCCCATGAGCCCTTCATGCTGCAACTCATCTCCCTGAGAGTGGACCTGGGCTCTAGCCCTCAGCAGAGGGGAGGAGCGATGACAGGTGACAAGTACCAACTTCAGGCAGGCTTAGAGGAGACAATGCACCAGGGCCAAGGAGAGAGACAAGTCCTTGTGCGGGTAGGTCCTCTATGCTGAATACCCAGGAGGGTCTCAGTCCCAGGAACCTCTGAAGTACAGGTTGGGTGTCCCTCATCCAAAATGTGTAGACCAGAAATGTTTCAAATGTTGAACACTGTGGATTCTGGAACACATGCATATATGTCATGAGACGTCTTGGGAATGAACTCCCAGTCTAAACACAGATTCACTTACCTTTTACATGTGCTTTTTATGCTTAACCTGAAAGTACCTTCCTGCAATCTTATTGCACCTGTGTTTTGACTGCAACCCATCACGAGGGCAGGTGGGGGATGTCATATCTGCACTCAAAATGTCTTGGACTTTGTAGTATTTTGAATTTTGGATTTTTAAATGAGGGATGCTCAATCTGTTGTGATTAACATAACTTTGGTCTTTGGGAGGATTGTGGTTGGTGTTCCTCCTTTGTTCCATAGCAGAAGTCTCTGAGACCAAGCCGAGCTCTTGAAATGCTCCGGCTTCCCCATCAACTAAATGGGAGTGAGAAGTGGGGTGTTAAAGATTAAGTACACAGAAAAGTGCTCAGCACACTTCCGGCAGATTGCAAACATGCTGGAACTATTCAATTGCGTCCACCAGAGCTTCTCCCATGGGCTCTCCAATTCGACACTTAGAGAAATCTTGACAATCTGTTGAGCTGGATTAGAAGCTGAGATTCTGGAAGGGGAATGTGAATGTGTTTTACAAGATGTAAGAGCAAAATTTCTCCTGTTTCTCTCCAATGGGGGAAGGGAAGGGAAAGGAAGGAGAGGATGTTAAATGGGCAAAACAGAGTGAGGTGACAAACCCATTGGAGCTCCAGAAAAGTCATTAAACTCCTGATACTTTTACTTCCCATGAGGAAAGGGGGCCTGGCTACAAAGCTTCACACCTGGACTGGCAAGATGGCTCAGCAGGTAAAAGCATCTGCTGCCAAGCCCTAATGACCTGAGTTCAATACCTTAGATCCGCATGGAAGGACCTCCACCTGTTTCTGTCTCTCTGTCTCTCTTACACACACACACACACACACACACACACACACACACACACACACACAAAGAAACCTTATACCCATGTAATGTGTGTTGGAAGCAGGAAGAAGCCAGAAAGAGACACACTTGAGGGACAATGCTGCAGGGATTCTGGAAACGGGGAGAAAATTTTTGGACCTGTCCAAGCCCATCAAATAAGACTTTGGACCCAGAGAAGCTGCAGCTGGAAAATGGGTCACAACACTGTCATGATGCTCATCGTCACGTTGCTGATTGTCCACAGGAAGCACAATACTGGTTTTCAGCCACAAACCCTGGAGCTGAGGAAGCTGGTGGATTCTGAACCAGGGCTACATCATGGACGAACGTGTGCCCACCTTTGTGGAAACAGGAAGCGCCTCTGCGTTCACTACACCTGCCAGCAAGCATCATCCATTTCCTCTGTGCTCTTCCATTTTCTGCCAGCTGCTTGCTTTGCAGACCAATGGCGCTGTCTTTTTCTGGGTCTGGAGTCCCTCAGTCTCCCATTTGAGCTGCTCAGGATTCTAAGGACAGCATCCCGCACTGTGGTGAGCCCCCAGTTATGAATTACTTACCTGCTGGCCATCATTTTAACATAAATGGATTTTAAAAAGCAGCAAAGGAATATATTTTCATTTGGAGTTAAAGCGTCCATTTTTTATTTGAGCTGAGCCTGATGTAGGAGAGATGGCAGAAGAATGGCTCCAAGGCTAATAGAGTTAATGATTATGATGGAGATCCCAGGGGTGGCGATATTTCACTTGCAGTCTCCTCCATCCTGGCTCTGCTGCCTGCAGTGCTTTTTTTTTTTATTTTTCTTTTTTCTTTTTTTTTCACATCCACTTCCATTAACACCCAGTGCAGATGATGAAACCATTATGATAATATCTCTGCTCTCGGCAGCCTCGATTGGTCTTGACACATTATCGCCCTAAGAGCTCAGCCATGTCGTACTAAGTCCTATTTATAATAACCCTTGGCAGGAGCCACCAAAATAAAACCTGGTGCTTATGGGCCACCTTTCATTGGAGGAAATCAGAAAGCTTTACAGGCTTAATTAAGCTTCAGCATCTATGTGACTGATGAGACTCGGGCCTGGAGAAGCTGGAGAGACACAGAATTGCTAATTGTGCCCTGGATAAAGCTCTGGGCAGCCGTGAAGATCAAAATCAACAAAGCTAAGGAGAGTCACTGTTTCTAGTGGAAAATGTTGGTTGAGTGAATTTCTTCAAGGTGGGCTGAGATGAACAATCTGAGGTGACGGAACAGGAGGCAAAGCTCTACATCTAGGGAGGGAGTCTGACATTTACTTGATTTATCAAAAGAAGATCAAACTGATCGACACACAGATGCTTTCAAGGATGAAGAAACAGAGTGTCTGAAAGGTGTGGTGATGTACCTGCTGGTACTTGGCCACTAAACTCACATGCTGATCTCCCATTGGCTCCTCCTCCTAAGACTAGGACTTGTAAGTCCCAACTTGCCCTCTAAGACCCAGCTTACCATTTGCCTCCTCAAGGAAGCCTTCCTGAACTTCCTTGGCAGAATCAGTTGCTCCCTGTTCTGTGCTCTTGTGTGCTTTCTAAGAAAATTCCATGATTGCTATAGCAGGCCATACAACTTACCAAACAATTACCAAATGAGTACAGTACATCTCATCTATACAGTAATAAAACACGAATTATCTTCTCTTCACTGACGAGTTAACAGGCCCAGAGAGGTGAAGAGATTTTCCTGAGTTGTCATAGCCAAATACAAGACAGTTTGGCTGTAGCTCACACATTCCCAAAGACACTGCCACACCCAGCAGTAAACCTGTGATGAAAGAGATGTCCGCCTCCCTCTCTAGTTTGTAAGCATTCATGTAAGTGGGAATTTCATCCAGGAACTGACTGCAAATGAGAAAAATGCCAATTCAAACACAAGGGAAGTCGGAGGAGGAACAGTCCTGGGTTGAGTAACTTAGGCTCATAGAAACCTCACCAAGGACTCTAGTTCCTTCCACTTTTCTGTTCTGTCATCCTGAAAGTGATGGACTTCGGTCATCTTTCACCTACAGGATACCTGCTCTGATTCCAGGCCCCCCCAACCCATATCTGAACCATGCCATCTAAATTCGTTTCTTTTGCATAGCTGTGACAAAAATATTTGAGGGAACAATTTAAGGGAAGGAGGGTTTATTTTGGCTCACAGCTTCAGAGGGTTCAGCCAATCATCTTTGGTTCTGTGGATTCCATGCCCATGATTAGGAACAATGTCATGGTGGCATGTGGCAGAAACCATTCAGTCATGGAGGATAGGAAGCAGAGAGAGGGACAAAAAGGAGCCAGGAACAAGATATAACCCTCAAGGACATGTTTTCAGTGACAACCTTCCTCCAGCTAGGCCTCTTCTAAAGTTTCCAGAACATCCCAAAAGAGTACCACTGGCTAGGAACCAACCCTTCAGTACTGGAGCAGTCTGGGAAGCCCCTTCCTATCCAAAACATAATAGCGGCTTTTTTCTGGGGTTTCTCCAACAGTTGGACATCTTTTCCAGGAACCACCCACTGACCTTTCCTCAAATCTATTGGCCAGATGATGTCATATGCTTAAACCTTAACCAATCCCCTATAGCAAGGAACCCAAAACACCCTGACTGAAGCAAGAGGAAGAAGGTAGAGAACATCTAGAAATAGGAAAGGAGGGTAGAAGTAGAGGAAGCAACTGGCCTTCCTTTCTTCAGGCCATAAAGACAAAAGGAAATCTGATGTCCCATCACTTCCTTCCTGCCTGTTGGTCTTTAGCATGTGGACAGGAAATGTCCACTAAACTAAATTAAGATAGAGGCCCCAAATGCCCAGTCCAGAATTCTCACCATCGGCCTGTGTAATGAGGACTACAGTATGTGTTTTCAGTTGCTAAACTGATTTGCCAAAGCTCCGTTCTTTAGAATAGATCCCAAGCTCCAGCCAGTAAACACACAAACCTTCAAACACAGGTCCAAAAAGTCAGCTACCTGGAATAAAGAGAATAAAAAAATTGTTAGTTTCACTATAATTGAAAGGGTTTGTGTCAACTTTGACTTTGTTTTTGGAAACACAGTGTGTTCTTAAAAGTGGGGCCCATTCAGGCAGACAGGTCAATTGCATCAAGGACTGATTTCTTCCCTGGCCTTCCCCTAGCTAGCTATATGGTAAGAACCAGGCATCCAAATGGCCTCTTATCCATACTTTCACTTTCCATGTTTTTCCAGTTATACTCAATCAATGCCAGGCTAAAAATATGAGGTGGAAAATTCTAGAAATAAACAATTCATAAGTTTTAAATTGTGCATCACTGAGTAGTATAATGAAATCCCCCACTTGTAACGTGAATCACCCTTTAGTCCAAGGTATCCATGCTATATATGTTGCCCACCTGACACTAGCCTTCTGTAACCAGATTGACTATCACAGTATTTCAGTGTTTTTATCTTATTTAATAATGACCCCAAAGCTGAATAGATGCAAAGGAGTCATCAGATTAACTGTGGTACTATGTGGCAATACTGCAGATCATACATGAAAAAAACAGGATATGTAGGGTTCAGGACTATGCATGACCTCAGGCATTCATTGGAGATCTTGGAACATATGCCCATTAGTTAAGAAGGACTGCCTTTGACAGCCACATATGTGAGGATGAGATCAGCTAAGCAATTCTGTGTGTGTGTGTGTGTGTGTGTGTGTGTGTGTGTGTGATGCATGTGTGCATGGGGGGGATGCTCGTGTGGAGGCTAGAGGTTGAAGTCTTCCTCTATCACTCTCCACTTTATTTTCTGAGACAGGATCTCTCACTTATCTTGGAATTTATTAGTTTGGCTAGCCAGGCTGGTCACTGAGCCCCCAGGATCCACTTGTCTCTGCACCCCCACTCCCAGACTGGACTTATTGTCACTGCCATGCCTGGCTTTTATGTGAGGGCTGGGGAGTCCAAATTCACGTCCTCATGCTTGTAAAGTAAGCACTTTATGGATTCAGCTATCTCCCCAGCCCTAGTTAAGCCATTCTTGAAAGATGCAGATCATGGTCAAATAATATGATTAAGAAAATGAAAATGATCCCTGCATTGGCTACCTTTCTATTGTGATAAAACACCATGACCAAGGCTAGTTATAGAAGGAAGAGTTTATTTGGGCTTATGGTTTTAAAGGGATTAGAGTTATCATGGGGGTGGGGGCAGCATGGCAGGAGGCAGATGGAACAGAAAGCTGAGAGCTCACATTTTCTAGTACATGCAGGAAGCAGAGAACAAACAGGAAGTAGGATGAGGCTATGAACACTCAAAGCCCACCCCTCAGTGACATACTTCCTTCAGCAAAGCCTCACTTCCAGTGGTGGCATGAATGAAAATGTCTCCTACAGGCCCAAGGATTTGTTTGTTTTGTTGTTTTGTTCTTTTGAGACAGGGTCTCTCTGTAGCTCCAGCTGGCCTGGAACTCATTATGTAGACCAGGCTGGCCTTGAACTCACAGAGATCTACCTGCCTCTGCCTCCTGAGTGCTGGGTTTAAAGGCATGTACCACCATACCCAGCAGGCTCAAGTGTTTGAATACTTGGTCAATTGTGGCACTGTTTGGGGAAGGTTATGGACCATATGGACCATTTAAGAGGTGTGGCCTAGCTGCTGGAAGCATGTCACTAGAGGTGGGCTTTGAGAGTTTTGAGCCTCATCCCACTTCAAGTTTCTTGGTTTGCTGTTGGAGATACAAGTTCTCAGCCTTTGGCTTCTTCCATCATGCCTGCTCTTGCTGCTATGCCTCTCCTCCATGATGGACTCTTATCTCTGTGGAACCATAAGCCAAAATAAGCTCTTTCTTCCATAAGTTCCTTGGTCATGTTACTTAATCATAACAACAGAAAAGTAACAAGTATACCTCCTAAGCCTTCACTAACAGTGGCATCAACTGGGGACCAGGTGTTCAAATGTGTTAGTTTATGGGGAACATTTCTCATTCAAATCAGTACAATCTCCAGGCAGAAAATATCCCTTACTGGGAAAGACAATGGAGAATAAAGATTGTCTTAATTTAGGTTGCTACAACAGAGTATCATAGCCTGGGTAGTTTAACAGCAAATAATATTTCTCACAGCACTAGAGACTCAAGAGTTCAAGATCAAGGTGGATGCAGATTCAGTGTCTTTTGAAGGCACTCCTACACGTTGGTACCCAGCAATTTTCTTGATGGGTCTCATATAGTCAAAAGAGGGCACTTATTCTTTTTTTAACAGGGCATAATCCCATTTATGAGGGGATCATGACTTTCATGATCCAATCACTTCCCAAAGCCTCCCAGACCCACTGCTAATACCATCAAGTTGGGGAATGGGAATTCAATATATAAATCTGGAGTGAACACAACCATCCAGTCCATAACAGACACAGACAATAGAATTGTAGCCTAGAGAGTTAGAAGGCTGCCCAAGTTCAACAATAGTGGCCAACACCGCACAGTCATGGAGTTATATTAGAGTCAGCTTTAATGTCAACATTTTGCTGTTTGGGGAAGGGTCTGTCTTATTTGCTTGAAAGAAGGTCTTACCATGTAGCCCAGGCTGGCTTTGATGTGCAATCCTTCTTCTACCTCCCCAAAGGTGAGATTATTGGTGTGCACGACCATATCCAAGCTTCCTCTCCTACTTTTGCAGAAGCATCAAAATGAGTGTGTGTGTGGGGGGGTACCTCTATCTTTGGGAGGGGCTTATAACTCAACAGAAAATTCAGCAAAGATCAGAATGAAGGAGACCAAGTGGAAAGAAAGCAAAGAGTGGGTTTCCTGAAGCTGCCTGGAGGCTCTGGGCTTTTAAGAGCTCACTAGAGCTAGGCACAGTAACACATGCCTACCATCCTAGCCACCAAACAGGCTTTTGTCACTGAAGGAGCGCCCAGGTTACCCAGTGAGTTTGAGGTCATTGGAACACAAAGAGAGATACTTAACCACTTTTGCTCAGTATTAACCCCAAAGAACATTTCAAATCAAACTTTAATCTGAGTTGCATCCTTGATTTAGGACAATCATTTTTATTCTTGACATTGCCTCAGTCATTTCTGATCTACCAAGGGTTCTGAAACCTTAGCTCTGTCACTTCTCTACCCTGTGACTTCAGGCTAGTAGATGACTATGCTTCTGGTTTGCAATCTGTACCATAGGGAAAATGGCAGTATCTGTTGGGAGGGCTACATGGGATAAATAACATACATGCTGGGCCTAGCCCCACACCACACCCATAGCAAGGTAAGCACCTGCTGATGCTGTTGTTATGGTTACCGTTAATATTTCACTTGAGCTGCATAACAACCTGTGAGTTAGGTACGATTTATTATCCTTATTTCTCAAGTTGAGAAATTGAAATTCATAGAAGATAAAAACTAGCCCAAGGAACAAGTCAGAAAATGGAAAAGCCAGACTCAAATCTTCCAACGTCAAGCCTCCTTCTCTGCTCCCAGCTCTTACCCCACCGTCTCTATGCTCCCCCAGGAGGCACCATTCTGTGAGCCTGATCATTGCTCACACAAGACTGCAGGCGAGTTGCAACATATTGGAGTTAAAGGAGTATTAAGGAACTCTTAAAAGAGCAAATAGGTTCCTGTTTAGGGACAGATAAGCAGCAACTGCCAGAGGTTAGAGGAGATGGAGTTTCCCTGCTAGAGCCTTGGTGTCAGGGCAAGCAGGGCCTGCCAAGGCAAGGAGAATAGGAGTGTTACCATACAACAAGAGAACAGGCAGATCTGTAAACACTGTCTAAAATAAACATCATATTAAAACTGGACACCAGTTTGCAGGGTGCATTTGTGTGTGCATGCATGCATGTGCAAGCACTAGCTTATTCCTCAGTTTTCTGCACTTCTGTATTTCAAATGTTAAGGTTCTTATTTATACATTCTGTTCTGGTAACAGTGTGTTCAGTCTTCAGAGTAAGACAAGGACTGCTGAATGGTAAAGTGAGCCCATCTTTGGAGGTATAAGATCTTAGCTAGGCTCTTTAAACTTCATTTTCATCTGTACCAGTAATAGGACTGGGAGATTCTGGGATTTGGGGTGTCTAGGTTTGAAGTCAACTTTCCCAGACTGAAAATCACATACTCTCCCCCTGACACATTCATTATGCAGAGGCCTCACCAATATTTTCCTCCTTTTAAGAACTTAAAGGAAAATCTTGGTGTCCTGTAGTAACAGTAGGCTGTTAAAAAAAAAAAAAAAAAGCAAAGCAAAACTCGATCATGCTCCTTGCAGAGCTTCAACTCATTAGAGTTCCAAAAGATTAATCAGCAAATTGTTACTGAACACCCTCTAAGTGCCAGGCATTGTGCCCTGACCACCAAAAAACAAGGAGCAAGAGAAACTCCCCATGCTGTTTACAGTGATGGATCTCTGGGAGTTAGGCATTTACAGCTTTCACGAACAGCCAAAACCACAGAGCCATCAAGTACTTTGGATTGCCCCATCACCCCTCGCACACGGTTTGGCCCACAATGGCATTTCCTATCCTGAGTTTAACTTAATTAACTGTCCAGTACAAAATGTATACTTTTCTCTAAGTAGATGATGTTCTGATTATGCCCACAAGGTGGCGATCTTGCTTATACTTTGCCCACAGTAAGAGCGACGTATTCTTTAAAAAAAGTTAAACCAAAAGGCAAAAATCAAATTCAATATATTCAGCACTTATTTCATGTAATATACAATATTAGATAGTAGAAGAAATAAAAAATTGATAAGACACAGTCCCTGCCCTCCGGGGAAAGATAGGAGGAGGGAGCTTGCACACAGCAGGAATAGAATACCTTTTAATAAATTAATATATTTTGATGTATCCATAAGGGACCCATTGTAATCCCTTTATCAGATAAGAGCTATAAAAAGCCTGTGGTTGGGAATACAGGAACACACTCGACAAAGAAGCTACACTTCAGCCAGTATGTACTTACCACACCAGTGGAAGCAAAACACATGAAGGTCTGTGTACTGGGTCGGTGTTGGAAGGCCCTACATGTTTTGAAGGGTTGTTTCCTTGACGTTTATCCTCAGTCACAAACATTATAGTGTCTGCCCTATAACTCCAGAACAAATATACAGGGTGTCAGCAGATGTAGCACAGCCGAAAGCCCTCATGTACACCTAGTCTAGGAATAAAAGGAAAGAAAAGAAACACAATCTGTTAAGGAACTGATTTCAAACCCTGACTGAAGGGCTCGGGGTGTGGCTCAGTGGCAGAGCACTTGCCTAGCATGCACAGGTGTTGGGATGGATCCCTAGCACCACAAACTGGCTCTCAGGAGGATTCCACCCTCATACCCCAAATCACCCTAATCCTGTGGCTGTGAAACTCAGGTTGGGATCTGGGATGCAAGAAGGGAAGGGTAAGAGCCAGTTTGCTTCTAAAAGATTTTATGGTGGATTGAACCCAAGAAGAGCTGGAAGAAGATGCACTAATTTTTGTGGTGTTTTGTTTTTACTCCAACAACCCCTTCCCATATTACTTTTTCCTTTAAACTAAACTAGTAAGCCAAGGGTAATAAGGGGTTGCTATTTGTTTTTCTTTGTTTAGCTGAAAATTATAACTGAGACTAAAATTACTAAATAACGACTTAACAAACTAGGAGTGCTGACAATAAATTTTTATATCTATCTATCTATATATCTCTATCTCTATATCTAAGAAAATCAAACCATCTGTGGCCAGGGGACTTAGGTTTGCATCCTGTCTTCACTTACTGAGGGATGCTGAGCCCCATCCTTTCTCCGTGCCTGTTTCTTCATGGACAAAACTATCACACACACATACATACACACATACACACACACACACACACACACACACACCCCTCAGGAACAAAACTATCACACACACATACACACACACACCCGTCATGGACAAAACTATCACACACACACATACACACACACCCGTCATGGACAAAACTATCTCTCTCTCTCACACACACACACACACATACACACACACACACACCCCTCATGGACAAAACTATCACACACACACACACACACACACACACACACACACACACACACCTCCCTGAGCACTGGGACATGGATCTGTGCAGTTAACCACTCCAGAGCAAACCAGGCCAGTCGCTTTGCTGAACGCAAGAACAACAAAATGGAAGCTGACTGGGTGTTCAACTTGCACCCCAAGGTTAATCCCCAACAACCCCAGGGACAGGAATAGGGGCCAACCATGGAGCATGCTCAGGAGAGGGGGTGTGGGTTCAAAGTTGATGGCTACTGATGATTCCTCTCCAAGCTGGAGTCACCTCCTGTACGGATTAGAGACATTCCCTGGAATTAAGTTTAGGCAGCATGAACTCACCAACCCAAACACTAAAATAACCCGCCCAGATCCTCTCCCCCGGTAGCCTGGAAAGTGGTGGGGGCCTGTCTGAAGTTTGGAGATCAGACAGGGTCCCTCCCAGTTGGAGGACTAGGCAGTCATCCCACCCCAGACCAGGAGCCTGGACGCATGGCTCCAGGGAGGCCTCAGGTTTGCAGCTCTGCCCCGACGCCCCCGCGCGGACACCTCCCGCCCAGCTTCCTCCTCGCCGCAAGTCTCGGACCGAGAGTGGGGCCACCTCTTGCTCCTGGAAGGATTCGTTGCCGCTTTAAGAAGAAGAGGAGGGGAAGGGGCGGGGG